CCCTTGATTTAAAATGGAAGCACAGACTGTACTTGCAAAATATTAATAAAATATAAACTTTTACTTGTAAGATGAAACTACACCGGTGATAACGTACTTTTGTACGGATGGTTCCTTAGGTACCACCTGAAAAGCAGTTTCATTGGCTTCGGGGATTATGGTATTCAAGACGCACTTTATTACGCTCTGGATTTTCTGCTGTCTGCCGCCAATGCTTCGTTCTGTACCGTTCCATGACTGTGGGATACTAACGTGGGAACCCCCCCCCCTCCACCTTGCTCGCCACCCATCACACACTCACGAAGACTCTGAGATCTTGCCTCAAGCTCAATAACTTTGCCTTTCAGATATAACAGCGAGAACGGATTGTATCATCCAACTTGCAACTGCTTCCCAGAAACCCCCCCCTCCCCCCGCCACGAATCACTGTCCGCTTAAGAGTTCTGGGTGTTTCTTGTACAATTACATTAATTTATATTCTTGATTCTTGTCCGAAACATTTCTCCTAGTTCAGAACACAACCCGACGAATGATAAAGAACAATGAACTCGAAGATGGCTGTCTTGTGGGTCGCCCTGATGATTGAGGCAGCAAGGACCTCTGAAACGACGGTAAACTTTTACCAGACTACACGGCGCTACAACCCAGAAGACAGCCATCTTCAGACTCACCGCCGTGAAAACCTCAGATCCTACGAAATAATGAACTAATTTAACATCTTAGACGGACGGCAGTGCCAAGGCAAACCCAATTACGTAAGCGCCCTGTCACACGTACACAATGAGAATACCATTTTCTTCGAAAAACAAACATCAGCTTGTAATATGCCACAGTTTAAAAAAGAAAAAGAAAGATTGTTTCCGAATTCACAAGAGTATAATAAACAAACCTCACGACACAAAACTTATGGTATCGAAAGACACCTTCATTTTTATTCTTGTATTTTTCTTCTTCCAAAAGTTTCGAATATAATCGTACGTCTCGAATGGAGAAGTGTGTCTGCCCCAACCCCGTTTCTCCCATTAGTCGAACAGAAATTGCAAAACAAAAACATGATTTCATCCATTCGTTCTGACGGAAACGATTCCATTTGTTATTCGACTATTTTAAGTAGCCTGCTAAATTCGTAGGCCTATAGTTCTTGCCTGATTGCTTCATTCTTCAGGACACACCTACGCCTGTCTCACGCTGAATACCAGCGCACCGCAAGAGGCCAGCTTTTACCGCAAGCTCTGTTCGAAAAGCAGGTACAGAGAATGAAGGTGATCATGTGTACGAGGTGCTACCCAAAAGTTCGGGGAATTTGCCTATAAAAAAAAATTGTTTATCATAACTCCTGCTTTCCACCGTCTCCTTCGAAGTAGTCGCTTTGGGCATGGATACAGCTATCCCAGCGTTTTTCCCATGTTTCCATGCATCCCTGGAAGTCTTCAAGTGTGAGTGTTTTAAACACCTCCTGGGATTCTGCCTGGATCTCCTCGATTGTGTCAAAACGACGGCCTTTCGATCGATATTTCATTTTGGGGAACAGCAGTTTTTTTTAAGCTTAAAGCCAAATTTGATGCAGATTCATTGCTCCTTAAAATCTGCAATTTATGCACGTTTAAAAAATCGCCGAACCACTATAACACAAC